CTTTCCCTAACACCAACTCTAGAAGAGTCACAGTTGATACCGAACTGTAGAACAGCAGGCTCAGGCAAACTTTTTCAAAAGTATATCAACTCTAAGCAAGGCACTCAGCTACAGACGTTTTTGGCGCAGCTTAACATTAATCCCCACATCACTACCACTTTCAGGGGTTAACACAAGCTCCATTTATTTGGAGCTTTTCACAGGCTTTCATCCAATAATGAAGTTTTGTTATTGGTCCTGCAACATTTCTCCTAACATAAAAGATTATTCTAATTTGGGTAACAGCGTAAAACAAAGCAGCAGTGGAAGAATTTTAAATATACCATTATACCAAAAGGCAAACACTGAACAAAGTGTCAGAATAGAGAAAACAGCAATGTGTAAACAAACAGCTTTGTGAAAGAGAGAATTTGTCCTCATCTCAGTTAAGGACAAAAAGCCTCATTGAAAATAAGCTTGCAAAGTCAAGTCAGAAAAATTAGGAAATGCCAGAAGTATGGCTGCATTGACAGCTTAAAACGACTCTAGTCATGCAGATGCATTACCTTTCAGTATATGAGCATTTACTCTATTTCTCCCGCAGGAACCCTGCCTCCTGCAATGCACAGAACAGCCTGGCTGCAGGGAGGGCCCAGAGCCACACCACGCAGGAGCCCACTGTCTCTATCAGACCCTCCTCATTTTTAATTCAGGAGCTGCCGAGTGAGGGGGACAAGGGTTGGCATGAAGGGAACAGATACTGTTCCTACCATTAAGGAAGCTAGGAATGCTACTCTGAAGAGCTGGAATTTAACTCTGTGGAAAAGGCAGGGATAAATTAACTTTCAAAAGATGATCACTGACTGGATCTAATCCTCATTACCTGAGCACTCAGCTGGAAATCTAGGAGCTTGATTTGCAGTACTTGCTCTGCTCATGTTGTATATCTGAACACACATATTCAAAGTGTTCCAAAAAGAGCCAAAACGTATGTACCTCAAATTGGCACTCAAAATTAGCAGGGACTCTACCTTATTCTTTGCATGCCTCAGTTTCCTCCCTCTACAGTGGGATAACACCATCCCATCACCTTTCTGCAATTTTCTGAAGCTAAATTGTTTCAAAGCACTAGAAGACCAGAGAAAAGTTCATAGAAAAACAGTACTTTTGTCTTCAGGGAATGCTGGAAATAGCACACAGGCAATACAGCAGGAACAATGCGTTCAACAATGGAGAGGAAAAAACCTGAATAGCTGTTCATTAGCATCTGTGATGCTCAAGTACAATCTATCCCACGACACTATCCATCCTGTGCATTAGATAAAGTGAGATTTAGTGGCACAAGACAGTCTTTAATTCATATGATTGTACTATGTCATTATGCATTTTCACACAGGAGCTGCGCAGTATATCCTACGGACTGCTAGCATGCAGCTTAACCGAAACAATGATAACAAGTACAGACTAAATCAGGCCTTGATGAGATCAGGGTAACCAGACAGATTAGATAAAAAAAAGCCTGAAAAAGCCCTCTGACTATCTGTAGATCTAGCCAGAGCAACATTTGATGCAATATAGAAAGTTCTGATAAAGAATATGCGTTAGTGCAAAAGCTAAAAGTGTCTCCTGGGCCAAACAGGCACCGAATATCAATGGTACTATTCAAAGGACCATAGCTGACTGACATGACATCAGGCCCAGTACTTAAAGATATGTAAGAATTTAATTGCTATTTGCTTATCAACTGTTTCGACTCAACTGATCATTCAACTAATAGGAAAATAAAAGTGGTTTTGTTTTTATTTCTGGAATACTTTTAAACCAAGGGCATACTTGCTTGGTAAACGAAGGCACATGAACACACTCCTATGTTCTTCCTAGCTGCCAAGCTCCCCCAGATTTTGGAGGTACACTGTATAGATGAAAAACTGCAGTATGCACCAAGCTCCTAAAACTCAACAGCAGAAATTCATTCTCTATGCAGAGTGGCATAAAAGGTGACTCGGTGTATCGCTCCCATATAGCTGCTGATTGAAGAGGAGCTGGGTGACTCCAAGCACAGGCACATGCCCTGAAAACACACTGCTTCCTTTCCAGGCTTTGAAGGGAAGATGGCAGCCCCAAACATCCTCCAGAAAAAGGATCTGGAGCAACGGGAGAAGTTATTGTTGCTCCATCTACTGCTAGAAGCTATGGCATCCCCTGCACAGCTGGTAGTATATATGTGCTCATCTGTATCATTGGAAAGTTGGCCCAGTTTAAATAAACTATGATACAGGTGGGTTTTGTCTGAGTTCTCACTGCAGGTTATCAGGCATACTGGAAAAAACCAAGCTGTGCAGGCATAACAGTAATTTCTTAAATCTACTCCAGTTTAATGACAGGATTTCTGTGACTGATCTTGGCTCTGTTACAGTTATGGGATGGGGAAGAGAAAAGAGGGCAATGACCTACTGGGAGCTGATTCTTCCCATGACTGTCACAGGCCTAATCCTTATCTGCCCCCTTCTCTCCAAGACTGTTTTCTTCCTCTCTTCTCTTCTCTTCCCGCCTAGCTCTTTGCTCCTGCTGTGTATCCCTGTTTATCCAGTCCATACACTCTGCCCATTCCTCATCCACCTTTCAGTCTTCATTATCACACCTTACTTTCACTGTCAGCATTTTCATTCCTCACTCCTGTGCTGAGCTCTGCTCAGCCCAATGCAGGTCCTCCTTCACTCAGACTTCCTTTGGCTCTGTCAATCCCCATCTACTCTGGTCTTCCCATCGCTCGCAAGTCCTGATCTCAGCCTTCTTTTCCCCTCTGCTCCAGGTTTCCTTCCCTCTAGGTTTACACTGTCTTGAAGGAATGGTGCATGCAGAGTTTTACCAGTGTTGGCGGCACAAAGCAAGCTCAACAAAATCATTGGTTTGTTTTTCATTGTTTTTAGCAGATGAGAGTTCAAAGTGAATGGTTTAGAACGGGGTGGAAACTCCAGCCTGTTTTCTCAGGGTGGAAACCTTTTCCGCAGACTTCAAATTCCTTTCAATTACAGATATACTAAATGCTTGACTTAAGAAAAAACAAAACAAAACAAACAAACCACAAACCAAAAAAAAACCCCAACAATAATAGATAAAGAAAAAAAAAACAACCAAAAAACCCCCAAAACACGTGGTCATCAAAATTTAACAAAGAAAAAGTGATTTGTCTGACATTAAAAGGAAACAAAACAGCTGAAATGGAAAACACAGCATGGAAAACTTCAGCCCAGAGCTAAAGTTTGGCAGTGTTACAAAGTAACAGAAATAAGGTCTGATGAGATCTGACAGGCAGCTTTAATCAAAACTGAAATACCAACCTCACCTAGGATAAATCTGTTAAGAAAAGAGCATAATGGCACCAAGTAAATACTTTCAGTAACAGCAGATTTAATTAAAAAAAATCAATGATTAAGCAGGCAAAAAATTAATATTTATGAGTTATTATTACTCACCAGAGAACTATTCACTATAGTTTCACTTCTTATTTTTAGCAAAAATATCAGCTGATCAAGATTATAAAAAACGATCAGTCTGGCTGTCGAGTTTTATCAGATGACGACATGGATAATAAAGTCAAAATTAAGCCACAACCTATTTAGTTTCAGGACTAACAAATAAATTGTTTACGATGCTTCATGGTTAGCTGAGTAAGATCTGGGCATACCAAAACATTATGCCCATTAAAGAGCTTACCCAAATACCGACAGGCAAGCATAACAATCCATCTCCCATCCATTATGAAAAACTAAGGGGAAAAAAAATAATCAAGGTTATCAGTAAAATGCTATCTTTTGCTACTGTCAAATAAAGTTAAGCTTGACTTTGGATGCATGTTAAAGCTTGCTACTAGGGAAGGATTTTTAACAAAACACATGCAAGACTATAAAAAAAAGCAGCCAATTTCTCTGGGAAAACGAGTCGGGTATTTCAATTTACCAGGCGCAATCAGGAAGCCTTTCATCTAGATATCAGCTATAATGCAGGAAAGTGCTAAGCCAGTTCTACAGACTGCTTTCCTACTGTGCATTTTAACCGAGGGAAGAAGAGCAGGAGGCAGTTAACTGTAACATAGATGGCATGAATAACTTCTAACAGTATCAAGTTATCTGGCAGGAAAATTCTTTGAGGTGCAAGACCTGATCCCTAGCCCTGTGCAATCTATTCAACAGTCATTTTTCAGTCGTTTCTTTGCCATTTGTACTGGGACCATCTATCCATTTTACTTGTGGATGATTTATTCAATCTCTGTGACCACTGAAACTTTGCCTTCTGCTATCCCAGCATGAAAATTTATTGCTTTTTATTTGGAAAGAAATGAGTGCTCAGCTCTCATCATGTTCCTTACGTTCCAGGTGCTCACCTTGTACTTCAGTTTTCTGTGGCTTATCAGTAAACGCTAACAACGGTGACCTGGACCGCTGTATAACAGGCAAGGTTGGGTCACTGAATGTTATGGTATCCTTTCCACCTGAAACAATCAAAGTGTTAGAACCATTAATTCACCAATTACATCTATTGTGCACTTGTGATATTCAAACATATCCTACAATTTTTTTTGCAATGTTACTGAAAAGTATAGGAACAGGAAAAGCATCTCAAATGATCCTTCTACAGCATGGGAAAAAATACTCTGTACTGGGGCTGGAATATGCAAGTCAAATATAGAAAAGGCGTATGTTTTTAACCATAGTACTGAGTAAAGGACAGATTTTGAAAGAAGACCAGGTGCTGTGTGCAGCAAATTGTATTAGCAATTAGCATTCAATTCAGAATATTAATAATCAGATCATACCAAAAATTTTAGAGTAATGGATCATTTGCATGCTATTACCAGCAAGTGTTCAGCACTGACTCTTTACTCTCTACTACTCTGCCTCAGTGATGACCCTGCTCGTATCACATATGAACTTTTACACTACAGACCCACATGCGTATTATCCTACAACGCTGCCTTAAAAAAAAAAAGTATTAAAAGCTTAGCATAACTAAGAACCAAGGGAGCAAACAAGCATACATTGCTGGGGAACAGGAGGGATTTTAATCTGAAAATTCCAAAACCATTTCCGAGCGTTTTGGTTTTGAGCCAAATGGAAAAGAGCAATTTTCCAGCTCTTTTGCAGACAAAATAGCGCAAGAAACTCTTCAGCTAGGACTCTGCTGTAGATGCCTAGTCTTTACATATTTTAGCAATGCAGAAAGCAACACCTGCAGATCCTTTAGGAAGTCCTCCACCATACAGGATGCTCATGTTTTTAGTGACTGACACAACCTTAAACCTAGAGGGAAAATGGCAGGAAATGTGCAAGATCAGCTAAGCTGGTGTTTGTGTGGCCTCCAGAACAACTGCCAACCCATAAGTAATGGCCGGGGAGGCGTCAAGCTACTGCTCTATTTATCTCCATAAGCACGGACATTTATGTAACAACCACTTCTCCCCTCTAAATCTGTTTGCACGTTTCACCTTAAGGCAACATCCTAAATCTAATCACCCATCCAAGACAAAGACTTTCAAAAGAGCACCAGGTCAGGAGATACCCGGAATAAATCCAGCTCTGAGAAAGTTCTGGTACCTACTAAGAGATAATGAAAGTCAAGCTGTTCTCATGGAGTCTAACTGGACTGTCCCAATCTCTAACTACTTTTGAAAGTACTGGCTGTAAATATCATTAATACCTTTGGGATCAAGGTGTTTTTATATCCTTAATATGTTGGGGTATATACTGCAGCAATATGAATGCAATTAATGCTTTTGAAACATGGATTTGTCAAGCTTTGTTCCCCCATCAAGTACGCATTACAATTCTGCCTTCACCATAGCAAGTAACAAAAAAATAATACTGACAACAAAGTGGAGAACTCCTCTACTTTAAGGCAAAATCAATTAAAATTTAAAAAAAAAAAAAAAAAAAGCCAAAACAAATCCAGTGGGTATTTCAAAATGCAAAAGCCCCCTGGAAGAACGCACTTTCCTGTAACAGTGATGTAATTTTGTGTTTGAAAAAGAACTAAATCATACAGGTAACTAGTGGTATGAGAACAGCCAATAGATATTTATACACAGTCAAAAGTAGCCACTCATTCAAAAAGATAGAAATGAATCTAACGGAGGAAGTAAAATTCAAAAAGATGATGAATAAAGAATTTGCGGGGGGTGGAGTGGGTTTAACAGGAAAACAGAAAGCAGAGTCTTATTCTTTTTTTTTTTTTAATAAAAAAGTAAAGTTTAAGCCAAAATCCCTGAAGACTGCAAGACAAGCTTCAAAAAAGAAACTTCTTGACTTCCAGCCAGCATTTACACAGTAAACACATTCACTTTCACATTTTTCTCTGAAAACCAACTTGGTTACAGAAAACAGAGCTAAGCTCAGTATCCACACATCTAAGCAACAGATGTGGCCCTAAGAGTCCGATGCGTATTTATTTATTAACAGTGACTCACATCCATTCATGAAGGAGGGACGTGGGGGTATTGCTGTGCTGTAGTCTGTGAATCATGATCTAAAGTTGGATTACAGGCAGGGAATTTCAATCAGCTGGTGTGTAAACTCAGTTTTGTAACTTACTTGTTTCCCTAATGAATTTTTCAAGGAGTTTAGAGAAAAGTATACTGATCTCAAAATAAGCAGACAAATAAGTATTCAATAGTAATAAATACTTATTTTCTTCTGCAGGGTTGGGCATCCTCTTATAACCTCTGCTGCACCCTGCCCCACTGTACCTGGCTATACCCACAGCAGCTGCTGAGCCCATTAATTTTACCTCGCCTCTGCTCTGTGCTGATTACTGCAGCGCAAGAGGCAGTGCCGAAACTTTCTTATCATCCCAGAGAGAAAAAGGCTGAGTCACGGTCGGCTCTTTTCTTAGGCTTTTTTTTCCAGTAGAAATCTGGAATTTTCAGGGAACGACAAATTCTAAAAAATACAGAATTACTTATCTGAATATCTAGTGACATCAAATTGTGAGAGGAATAAGGTGGTGTCTACTATGTACTATTACTGAATACACTTAACATATTACTCATGCATATTTGAGCCACAATGTAACCAAGACAAAGCAAAGAATTTAATGCTTCTGTGAACATCACATTCCCTGCTTCCTTCTCAAGGCAAGTGGGCTCATAAAAAGAAAATCAGAGCCAAATCTATGCCCAAGCTTACTTTCTTTTCAGCAATGAACCTTGCAAGAGATTCACTTTAATTAAAGCCCATTTTCCAAGCAGGGGAAGCTAAAGTTTGTGGTAGGCAGAACTTCTACAGAAAATGAACTATGCTACCAGTTTCACCATTTCAAAAGTTAAATATGTGCTTCCTCTTGATTTAGCTTTCCTATAGTTCATTCATGCATTGCTCAAAAAAACAGATGACAAATATGTCACCTAACAAAAAAAATCAGAAGCGGTCAAGCTCTTTCTTCAATAGGATAAAGTTTGTTAACATCATTTATTAACATCATTTGGAAGATAGTAATATCATGGTGACAGCAGATGTTATAAATGTTATAGGGACAATGATGCCTAAGTAGGAACATTAACTTCAGATTAAAACTCTGCAATTTATAATATACATTTCATTCAGTGCTAGACTTAACACTAGCTTTCATCTGCGTATTTTTTTCCAATGACAAAAAATTCAATTCACAACCTTTGTCTCTCTGGCTTTACGACTAACTAGATGAGATACTCTCCATGTTCAGCCCCTCACCTGAGCCTACATTCAGCTGCAGAGTCCACTGTAGTCGTTCCCACATTATTTGGTACATGCTGCTGTTTTATGGAGCGGAAGCTTTCCACGCTCTAAAAAGAGAATTGGTGACCCACCAGGTGTTGCAAGGCTCTTTCTGACCACCTTGGGACTAGAGTGCACTTGGAAACCAAAGTGCACTCGATTTAAAAGGGAAGCAGCAAATCATCAAACCTTGAGGCTCAACAGAACTCACGATCCATTGTAAAATTCCCTTACAACTATTTAAGATCATCCTTTCTTACTATTTTCCTCAATTTAAAGGAATTGTCTGGTAGAGCAGTCTCTATGTCTCTTGCGGTCATCTAACTCACTTGACTGAACATCTTAATCTGTCAGACATAAAAATGTTCAGATAATATTTCTGTTTGTTTACATGCAGTGACAATATTTAACGTACTGCTAAAATCAGTTACTAAAAATATACATCAAGCAGAACATACTCCCAAATCCCACTGAGACACTGTAGCTCAGGCCTTCAGGCAGCAAAAGAAAGGAAGGAAAGAGACAGTTGTTATCGTACAAACATTAATTTGATGTCTTACCTACACAGACCAACAACGGTGCAAGAAGTTCCCACTGTTCCATTTTTTAATACATTTTGCAAAGACTAGAAACACTGCATTTATTAGTGTATGAATTCCATGGAACAATATTTTGGAAAAAAAACCCAAACAAACAAAAAACCAAAACCCCAATAAACCTACAGTACCTCACACTGGTGAGTTTATGATACACATTTGTACTAATGTCCAAAACCGCATTAGCAGGGTCTTAGACAAGTATTTCACCTGCATCTTTTGGAGAATGTGGGGAGGGACAAAGGCACTTAAGTACCCTGTGTATGTTAGGTGACTAACTGCAGAGCAATCCATGGAAACAAATTTGGGACCTTCAGGTCTGGAAAGCATCAAGAAGAGAGCCAGTTCCAGAAAGGTGATTGAGAATGCCTACAATGCGCGAGCTAAAGCGGAAATACACCACATCAGGCCAAATGGTTGGACAGCGTAGGTTTGGCACGAGGTCTATTCGGCTTTGTCAAATGTTTTCTTCTAGATGGAAAGGTTAGGTGGAAAAAACAAAGGCAAAAAACTAGAATCCTAGTTCTAAAACTAAACCACACTATCTCCCACCCCCAGCAGCACCAATATGAAGCTGTAAACAACAAAGCCTAATGATGCAAACACCAACAATGGAGTAGCATAATTTACAGTGGTTAAAGAAGACACAATTAGGTGTAATGGGAAGAAAAGAAACAAAAAGTAAATGTAAATTAAATATTGCATTTTCCTAACAGCGAGGTCTATTAGGAAGCAGATTAATCTCCCATTACTTGAGTAATTCAAAACCAAATACAATACTTAAGATGCTACAGGGAATAAGCCTGTTCTGGAGAGATGGACTAGAAAATTTAAGATCATTTACATTTCCAATTTCTCAGAGTTTATGATTCTGCAGAAAAACATTAAAAATACAGAGATGAAATCCACGGAAGTTACAAAAAGTACAAAATTAATAAATAAAATTTATTGAAAAACATCATGTCCAATATATTATGTATCATTTCATACAACTGTTCAAATAAAATAGTTCCCTTTTTTTTTTTTATCTGCAGACTATGGAAACAATTTGATTATTTCCAGTATTTAAAACTTTTTTTTTTTTTCAGTATACATATATGACTTAGAGTTTAAAGAGCCTAGTGATTTTTGGTTTCAACATAACATTTATTAGAGGTTTCTAATTTTGCAAACGTGCTGAACAGCATATTCGCAAAATAACTGTCATTAAAAAAATTATAGCCAAGCTTTTCTTAAATGCAAATATACCCTTGAAAACTAAATAATGCAAGCTGTTCTCTTGAATTTTTACTAACCTGGAAGACTCCACAAGCCAGCAATTTCCAAAGTTCTTAATTTCTTTTCTAGTTCTGCCACTCGATTACCTAGAATTCTTTGGAAAAAGAAAACAACAACAAAAAAAAAGAGCCAGGGACAGTCAGCTGAGGTGAGATTCCTTGTTATACTAAGGTAACCAAAGCCCAATTACTTACATGACTACATCTGAATTTTTAACTTGCTACTTAACTAGTGCAGTAAACCTGTACACAGTCATCTCTTTTCACTAATGGCAATGGACAACCTCCCCCAGAGTTAAAAGAAAATGAAATACAGTTGTCTGATATATCCCAGGTTTTTTTGGTTTTTTGTTTTTTTTTTGTTTTTTTTTTTTAAAGGCCTAGGATGTACTGGACATTCAACCTTTGCCCTTTGGTAAACACGAAGAATAGCAACTCATACTATTTCTATTTCCTTGCCTGCAAATATCTCTTCCCAGTTACTTTTACTTTCTCTATAGCTAAATCCAGAAGGTAAAAGCTATGCAGACAAAATACAGAAAACTCAAGACAACATCTAGATTGATTTTGAAGTTCTAAGACACAATTTTGACCTAGTCCTTTAACCACAGAGGTTCCTCTATCACTAAGATTGCTTAAAATGGAAAGGAATATCTTTTCCACTACATCTTTTTCTTTTAACGTTTTTGTGCTGAACTCTGTTTTCTACTTTACTAAAAAGCTTCAAGCTCTTTAGTGCCTTTATCACCCACTCTTAGTTTTCACTGCATTTCCTGGGTCATCTCTTCTTTTGTATCTAATTCCAAGACAAATACTATTTGCAGTTAGCTCTCCTGCAGGATTTAACTTTTAGTCTTAATTCTCTCCCCAGATCAAATGAGATTTCTATCTTGCAAAGAAAGCTTTTTTTTTTCCCAATGAATTTTTGAAAGTGTTTTTCTCACAGGCACAGCAAGTCTCCTAGAGTCAGAAGTCTTTAAATAAATCCCAAACAATACTCAATCGAGTGAGAAACCTAGACGAGGCAGTGATTCTAAACATGACAGCAGAGATAATGGACAGCAAGTTTTACTCATCAAATTACAGCAACAGGATAAGTCAGTTAAATTTGAACTGAAGCAGCATATCACAACACAGCAAGGCAACACTATCTTCCCATGCTCACCAGAGCTATGTAATACCGCACTGCATGCTCTCCAGTGAGGGTTTTATGCTGCAGACATTTGAGCGTACTGGGAATGTCACTACTGACAAGATGGCAGAATCTGGGAAGGATGTGAAGAATAGCAAACCCAGCAAATGCCAAAGGGGCTAGAAAAATTGATTAACAAAGACTACGTATTTTTGAAATCTCTACTGTGAGGGCTCTGCAATGACACAATAAAAGCCTTTAAGTATTTTAAAGATTACAAAAATATCAAGATAAGAGAGAGAGAATGTAAAAGAGAAAGAGAAAGCTTATAATAAATACCAAAGAAAGCACTGAGAGGTACAGGGGTGTATATCAACTAAAAAGCAAACAGTCCATCACGTTTACAAAGCAGAGGAGAGAAGACATTTGGGAGCAGTTATGTTTATTTCCCCATTGAAACTCAGTAATCAAATAGGTTACCAAGGTTATGATGGATCTATTACTGTCTTCTCCAATTACAATCAAAACTGTTCAAGTCTAGATTTTGCTTTCAGAATGCTGCCATCTGGTATGAGAGACTCAGCCTTAATAACTATTTTCGTATCCCAGTGTACGACCCGACATCCAGCAACTGTGCTCTGCAGTACAAACAACAGGTGAGGGAGAAAGGCACAGAGCAACTCGCAAGAAGCTCTACCTTGCGCACAGGGAGCCCACTCCCATCTCCCATCGGCCCCACCAAGGGTCAGCCGAAGGACCTGGAGTTCCCCTGGCTTAGAGGGGCAGGGAACAGCCAGAGATGATGCAAGACTTCTTCACATCATGTTAGCTCAGCCAGGGAGCCAACAAAACAACGTCGATGTGGCTAATGATTGTCACCACAAACAGGGCACAAGTTTAGCATTTCTGCCAGGAAAAGAAGAAAAAAAAGATATCCTTATTATTTTGCTAGGTAGTTCACCCGTGGTTCCAGAGCAGAAAAGGGAGAAAGATACTGCCCTCCCTGTTGGCTAGCCATATCACAGAAGGAAACTCAACCCTCTGCATCAAGTGCAGTTATTGCTACTCCTCTTGTCATTCAGGTAACAATAGCAAAGTCACTTTTCTCTTGCTTCTCTTAAATTTTATAATTCATTTATCAGCTGTACCACACCATTTCTTAAGGTTTTGGAGCAAATATATCCTGATAATTCCTACTGGATCCTCAGAAGAGGCACCAAGCTATTTTTTAACCTTTGTTGCAGCTTCTCACATAGAAGGATCATTCTGTGGCTCTGAACAATAGTTGGCAAAAAGAGAGGACAATACTTAACCCTGCTCCTTTCATTCAGGAAGAAAGCAAAATACATTCAGTGCCGAGTGTGATTCTAGTTTGCTCCAAACTATATTATCTGAAGACAGGTATGGGAGAAATAAACTCTATATGAAGCTGTGAGTTCTTATAGAAACATTTTTTGAAAAATAAATGTGTATGCAATCCTGAACAAAGCGTGGTTTACCCCCTTCCTTCCTTTCCCCTGTGACCTGCAGATAATTTGCCACCTCCATACGTGCTCTGGGAAGACTGAGCTGTGGCGGCCTGGAACAGTAGGTATTTTTAAAGGGGATGCACAGATTGGTAGCATCAAATTCCCTAATCTATTTTTTTATTTCTAGCCATAGTGGACCAAATCCTTCGACCGAAACAGAAAGATCATGTCATGGACAAAGGTACCTATCGATAGCTATTTCTGTTGTCCTCTGATCATGGGTCTAATGCAACAAAGGAGTTCGTCTAAGCCTCCCTCCGGGATAAGATTTTACAGAAATCTGTTGTTCATATGACAGCAGCATGCTCCCACCTGAATTTAGAAGCTCCCTTCTGGCTCTCCCATGCTTCCCAACAGACGTGGCCATAATCGGAAGGGAGCTGTGCTCATTCACAGCACCCGAGCTCCATTCACCTCACTTTCAATTTAGATCTTGCTACAGAAAACATTTACCATCATATGATCACCCAAATGTCTGTAAATAGGGTCTGTCATGGTCACATATCTAGTTCTATATATGACACAGAAACATTTACTCAGTTACAGACTGACACAATCCTTTTTGTAAATTTGGTCATGACAGAGCTTGCCCAAGTTAGAAATGTTAACATTAGTGCAACATGTCTAAGCAGCAGAGTAGCTTCTACACTGATCTGGCTTGCATGGGCTCTGGCAATTTCAGGAACAAATTGCTCTAAAAAGAACATCTAATAAACAGTTCATTGCTGGCAGAAGAAAAAAAGATTTTCATCCACTTGCTAGGCAGGGTTAGGACTGTTTATTTTTGTATTTATGTAACTATTTAATCTTGCAAGACATTACTGCATACAGAATTCATTTACGACTGCCTTTTCAAATTAAGCTAATGTGCTTGTGAGGAAAAACATAGGATGTTACTTAAACTTAGCAGTAGTAGCTATGAATCACGTGGGGAAAATGACCTGTTTTCTTCCCAAACAACTTATTTTTTTCTTAAAATTGGGACTAAAAAACCAAAGGCTGGATTTAGCTTCTTGTTCCTAGGCACATACTCCCACAGCTCCTTTTATCATGCCACATATTTAGAAAAGCGGCAATAATAATAGTGTGTCTGTTCCAAGAGCAAGTTGCAACGGATGTTTTTAACAACAGTGTAACAGCAGAAAGTCAACTTCAACAGCACATCCAAATTCTAATCTACGTAAAGAAATCCACTGTCTTGTTATTGCTTCAGTAAGTCAGAAAGCAAATCTACCATTCTGCTGTGGTAAACTTATAAAGCCATAGCTCAATCTGCAAGCAACAAAAGAGGATTTGACTTTTGAGTAGGTTAACTGTTTGGACGAAAATAAGCTCACATGGTCTGAAAAGTCTCATTTACTGATAACAGAATCACCAATAGGTCAATCAAATATCAAAAGCAGAACTTCTTCCCTGAATGAAACAACCACCCCAAAATCTCATGTTCTTTACTCAATAAATTTCCCTTTCTTCACACAACAATCTCAAAGAGTAACTGTGTCCTCCAAACATGCTCTTTGCGCAGGGAAAGCCACGCAAACAGGACAGAAGGGTGAAGGCAAAGACTTCTACCTTCTGATTTATGTAAAACCTTTTGTCATTACAATTCTCTCTATCCCCACATCCTTTTCAACTTCCTACTTTGAATGGAGAAATGTCTTCAACAAAAGAATTCATCTTCTATTAGCACCAGTTTACGGACCTGTCTGTTTTACTTGTGCACTGACCTCACTCTTACCTCTAACTTTCTCTGACAGGTGGGCAGTTTCTTCCCCGTGTTCAGAAATCAGCAGTCTTTACTTGCAACTTTTTACATGGCAAATCAGTGCCCCCAACAGCCAGCTAATGCGCCTCAAATACAGGATGTTTTTCCCTGATGTCCTACCTACATTTCCCTTTTTCTCTTTAACTCTTTTGTGTCTTAGGTGTTTCTACTAGAAGTAGTTCCCATTCCTCCTAGCTCCTTAAAGCTTCTTTAATCCAACTAAATCCAAAGGTGACAAAAAAAATGAGCATACCACGTAGCAGTGTTGCTGAGGCTCTTCAGTCAACTTGCCCAGGATTTATCTTTCTTTTTTTTCCTGAAGCATCCTGAACTGAACACAACACTACAGCTCTGAGAACACTCCTGACATGGGAGAGATGTGAACTGTCACCTCCCTCTAAGACCTGATATCCTATTGGGCACAGAATACCAGTTTGTGCACAAATTCAATTTCTACTCCCCTGGCTATATACGACCGGTTGGGTCATAAAAGATAAAAGAACCGTAACTCCTTGTGAAGGCTTATCTCAAGAAAACCCATCCTCAATAGCTGAAAGCAGAGACAGTGGTATCAGAAAGTAAAGCCATCATCACAATGACACCTTTGAGAGATTCAAGAGACTGCATGTGATCAGAGAGATAAAAAATTAAGAAAGAAGTTTGCTATAGTTATAGGCAAGAGTATGCAAACCACAATACCAGGTAATGACACAGTGTCAGGATATAAAAGGCAAAGATTGGTTATATCTGGAATAACAAAACTCATTCTCTGGATGTTTTCCTTTGGATGCTGCATTAGCAGTAAGAAGGGAGTAAGCAGGTGTTAGCCCTTCATTAGCACTGCTCAGTGCAGGAACTCCTCTTGCCTTACATGACACACTTACAGACATGAATTGACTGAGCTGCCATCAGTTAGATCTGGGCTACATTTTCACCGCTTTAGTCTCCCTTTAGCTGATTAGGCATTTGCTTTCTCAAGAGTATTAAGAGTGGCTATAAACTGCTCCTCCAATTCTGTTGCCACATCACTAAGAATCATGCAATGGAGTCTGCCTAGTATCAGAGTTATCAATTTTCAAAATGAATCATCTCTTCTAGTGCAATACAGTTTACTTCAGTACTACTGCTTCCTTTCATGAAAGATGTCTGCCTGTTTCTGGCATCTGGTCCTGACGTGCTTTTGAGAAGCCTGAATAACCTCTGATTACCAGTAGTGACTCAGTGTTCAAAAAAAAAAAAAAAAAGAGGAAAAAAACTGAGCACAGAACCAAGGAACACTTCCTAGCTCTGATTTTCATACTCTGTATAAGGACAATAATATCAGCATGTCAGAAAATGTGTCAAAAATTATTATATTCCACCACGATAGCTGTGCAAGACACAAAGAATTGTACTGATGAGTAGAACGGCTAAGAGTAAACAAATTCTCCTTGAAAGTTCAGTTTAGATTTTTTAAAAAAAAAATCATACAGTAGCAATCCAACTGTGTTTATGTCCTATGACTTTTGGCAAAGTAACCATAGGAGCAACAGCTATCACTTGTATGACACAGAAGCTGCTAGCCTGTGACAAATGTTACACTAAATCTTTTCAGACCCTTTCCTAGGTAGAACATTTACTATTCCCACCAGTGTTCGTTAGCAAATTGCTACATTAACAACCAGTTAACACATATCTTCTCCTGCAGTTCAAGGGTGTCCTTCTTCCCAGCACCTTTTCTTTAGTTCTCTCTACAGACTACCTGCTGGAAGTCCCCGCTGTGTTACTATGGTTTGTCTTGAACCTGAGCAGCAAACCAATCCATGCATAGCAGAGGCAAACAAGTCTCTGCCAAGCCCAGACTTTACTTTGAAAAGGCAATTTTTCTCTAAACACATATCTGATCTCAAAAACTAAAGAACCTACCAGTTAAAAATCACATTGAATTTTCTGTGACAATGGACCTTCCTTCCCATTTCCCTGAAACTCCCCCAAAACTATGACTTTTCCATAGTTTGTTAAGTTCTATTTTACTCAGAAGTCATGGTACCTACTTGTTGGTTTGCCTTTGGTGTTGTATGACCATGTTTTTTTCATGGATAGTTTCCAGCAACGCAGTGGCCAGTGATTTGAGATCTGAAATGGACTGTGGTGTGGCTGGTAGGCTACATCCATGATCCTCCGACAACAACTCTTGGACTATAATGTTAAAAACACAAATGAGTTTTGGCTTCTCACGCAGAGATGGAACACAAACATTTACCCAGCATTAAGGAACTATTCTCATTACTTAAATAAATACATATTTTTTTCCTTCAATTAACAAACAAAGCCAAAAGACCAGTAATATAATCTCTATCTGGCATACAGATGATGGCTGTCTAAGCTGATCATTATTCCACAACAACTGCCCATACAAGTATAGGCAGACACATCTTATGTTAACTTAATTCTGCTTTTGGAAAATTACTTTTGTTCAGAAGGAAACAAACTTATTGTTCTCTAGGCCTACATATTGGCAAAACACAGTCATTTCTCTCCCACTTACATTAAAACATAAGCCCACAAGGAAGCTTTTACATTATTTTTTAGAATTATTATATCTTTCAGGTTATTTAAGACTGATGTGAAAATACAGACACCCATGAACTCTTCCATTGCAGCTTAGAGCCTGTACCTCTCAAACACATCAGGAAGTTCACTAATATCATTAACTTCTGTAACTAGAATCTGGCTCTGCCTCTTTTGATATATACATATATATATTATGTATGCAAGTACATGGAGAAGAGGACAGAAGTCAAAAACAGAAAAGCGAGTTTCAACCCACCATGACAAATACTACTGAGCTTGCGTGCGTACGAATACACCAACACCCAAACACTAGGGTGCCAGCTATACTGTTTGGCTCGGAGAATTTTCTCTTCCCCTTCCTTTCCTAATCTTGACGTTTTCTTTGAAGGGAGGACAAGAGATTACTCCATTTTGCTACCAATGGGTAGCAAACGTGGGACAAAAGGATTTCTTGCAAAACATATGAAAATATAAGCTTCCAAAAACAGTAGCAGAAAACCTGACGTAGGGCCCCTCCTCTACCACCCAGTCTTCTTTTCATTGTAATATGAATTGTGATTGCCATTGTTAGCAGAGCAAAGAGATGAATACAGAAGTGATTTGTCAGGGTCAAAGTTGCAGAGGGGTTTAGAGATTAAAAAAAAATTGATAAAACTGACAGAGGAGAGAATGAATGGCAAAAGAGTAATAAAAGGAGAAGCAGTACTCAAGAGGCAAATTTTATATTGTCAGGTCAACTAAGAAAAGGATGAAAATTAGCACATCATGATAAACAAGAAAGAGAAGAAAGATTTTGGTTTGGTTGGTGAGGAAAGTGTTACTGAAATTAAGAGGTAAGATGGAAGGAATTCAATGAGAATGCTGCATTTATGTAATACCTTGCTTTGCAGACAGGACACCAGTCAGAGCACTGCTACTGGATCTGCCATGAGTCTTTGAATTTTTCCGTCTCTCTAGTGCATTCTAAGGAAACAACAGAGATCTTATTTAGAAAAACAGTAGCCAATAAATCCTGTCACTAGGAGTAAAGAATCTGGAATTTTGGATTTTGGTCTCAGAATAACTCTGCAGGGCCTGGAGCTTACACCCATAGTAACCTATGGTAGCGTGACTCTCCTAGAGTATTATTCTCCAGTCAAAACAGTCTTCGTGATATTACAAAGACTCATTCTGTCTCATTGCAATCACTTTATTGTAGTCTCTCACTACCCCTAATGCATTTTGAAGACTTGCCTATTTTTTAATAATCTCCTGAGTGCCAGTGAAGATACTGCAGTATCCTGTAGAGAATATCAGTCGGGGGAAAAAAAAAAATAAAAAAAATCAGACTTTCCCCAGCATTTCTTTGGATCGGCTTCAAAGGGAAAGCTCAAACTCCTCTATCAGAGTTTCTAGAAGCCCTTTTAGTAGCAAATACTGACTTTCAGGAATTAGGGGCAGAATGATCCTGCTACAGAAGTCCAGCTCTTGCAAAACAATTACAGTTCTGTGAAACCCACCAAACCACCAAGATGCTCAATTCTCACCAATAAACTAACTCGCACTCCGAGAGACCCAAGTCATAAGCGTGAACAGACACTGAAATGAACTTGGTACTTTGAGAAGCTTTGCTCATGCAACAAAAGCAATTAGTGTTGTGACTGCTTCATAGTAAAATAAATGGTTAAGAAGTCCTATTGACAGTGCTAAGACAACCCTTCTCATGCCCTGACAAGCAGCCCTCCCCTCCCACACCCCAAAAATCACTTGCAGAAGAAAATAGTGCTTGATTTCAGGGAAGACCAAGAATACTTTGCCCTCAGGACTCAGTCCTGAAGGTTGCAGGCAAAACAGCATACATCTTAACCCAGGAATGGAAGAACAACAAAGACTTAGCAACCGTTAAGACACATGAAGAAATTGTGCGGCCATTAGGGCACAGGGAGACAAGACCTGCTGGTGACATCAACAGTCGCAGTCATTCACCACACACCGCGGGACCTGCTACTTTTCACCAACCAGCAGGCTGGAAGGCTGATCACTGGGGGCGGGGTGATCCTTGCAGGAGGAGGGTTCCCCCCCAGAAGTTAAAAAATGGTATTTAATTAATTATTTATATTTTATTTTCCAAAATGCTCTTAATGGGTATCTCATACTACATCAGCTAAGAAGCCTACAAGGAAGACTGATCATGTCATATGTATACATAGTAATATTGTCAGAATGTTAATGGTGGACTTTTCTTCGAAGACAATTTTGTTCTTTAAAAGCATATGAACATGCGAATGAACAATAACCTCCATGAGCAACAAAGCACAGTTTAGATGATACACTGAGAGGATCTTACCTTATATTTAGTAATATTAGACTTAAGAAGGTTGACTTCCTCTTGAAGTTGTTTTAATCTCTCCTGAAGATACCTAAAAAAAGAAATGTAATCCTTTACTTCATGTTACCTTCAAGTACTACCTCAAGCATTCCTCTTTACTATTTGGCATGTCCTCTCTTTGAACTACTGAGAGTTCTTTTCCCTCTGCAGTTCTGTGAGGGATAAAATAACAAAATCTTACTGCTCTTGACCCCATAAAACTTTAAGTAGGGAAACAAATTGCATCAGAAAAGGAGGCTGCCCTCCTGTTAGATTTGTCAAGCATGCTGCACAACCTTTTTATATCAGTCCTCAGGTTTTTGGGGAGGGAAGCTAAAAGGATATATTTATGTCTAAAGGAAATAGTCAGGAAGCACATACTCGTGCCCTCTGTACTTGAAAGTTTGTGAGATGGACACATGAAGATTTGTATATATGTCAACACAAGACTCAACTATGCAGAACTTTTGCATTGCAATATCCATCACTTACATGGCACTTCTCATTAGCAATCACAAAGTAGAAAATTTAACAGTCTAGTTGAAAAATGGTATACAGCTAACTAAAACAGTACAGTTCTTCCTAATAAGAGCTTATGCACTTGGATTAGAAGGCTATTTCCACATAGGAAAATACCTTTTTCATGTATAAAGGGTTTATAAATTATCCTCTTTCATGTAGTGCAACTACAGCTGTATTAGGATTTGTGACAATTTAACTATTTTAGAGAAAAAAAAATCATATCACTGTCAGGGGAGCAGGGGCCTTAAATTGATACAGAACTCTGTAGGTCATGCAAAACAGGAAAAAAAAATAATGGAGTTGTTGGGAGGAAGTAATGCTTTCGGTGTTACACTTTCCTACCTGAAACATAAGTCTCTTTAAATGGAAAGTGTCTTACGAGATCTATTTGACTTTAAGGTAATTGTTGACATTAAGGGAGGTACCTGCTCTGGCTCTGTCAGTGACTCCTCTGTGTTGTCCTCATCAGAGACCATAAAATACATTCTTCTCCCAAGGAAGTGGCAAGAATATCTACATGGGTGATTTCACCAGCAACTTTTGTTGGCAAATCACTCCATGTTGACAGCCTCTCCCTGTGGTGAGAATTATGTCCAAAACTGTTAACTCAGGGTACTCAAAGTCCCTGTTTCCAATCCAAGATTAGCTTATTACAGCTCACTATGAGTTTATGAAGACACTGATTTTTAATATTCTCTCTTTTGGTGCCATACAGTGATGGGAATAAAAAAGCCTGCCCTTCTCTTCCTTTTCCTTGTTTAGCTCTATTTGGGAATATCACTGACATGTCTGTAGCCAAATAAAACACTGGTAATTTCCTGCAGCCTAACTTTCTCAATATTATTTGACAATGTGCTACAGTAAAAAAAAATAATAGACAAAACAAATTACCAAAATCTCTTGACTTATTCTTGGACATATTTTCTTTAAAGTTTTGTTGTGACAAATTTCCTGATGCTCCCGTTAAAGCAATACACTGCTTGTTCTAGGGAAACAGTAAGGTTTGCAATGCACTCACCTGTTCTCCATACACAGAGCATCTACATCTATGATACGGTTTTCATGCCCTCCTAAGACATGATTAAGTTCTTGGTTTAGCCTGTCAGACTTATCTTGGTAAAAAGAGCGTTCCTCTTTCACATCCTGTAACTCATCCAGTGCAGCCTGAAAATCGTATCTCAGACTCTCAATCTGAGAAGAAAGGAGAGCTGTATGACTATTCTGAAGTTTAAACAAAAGATTACATAGTGTCCAAACTGAAAACAGCAACAAGCACTGCATGTCTGAACAGGATTGATTGTGGACAGTCAAAAGTCTTTCCGAAGCTCAGAACACCCAGCATTTTTACTCTATTTTGGTATTATTTCATTAACTTGAAGTTAAGTAACTTTAGCAGTTAGATGTCTTTTACAAAATTTCTAGAAAACAACTAAAATGTAACAGCAAAAGAAACCTTAATCCATACTATAATTCTTCTACTACTATATTAAGCTGGTTTTAACATATAATTTCTAGGACTCCAGGAATGAACTCAACTGAATAAGAATCTGGCAAATTTGGAGGATGAAGAAAAAGTCTGTAAGGGGGAATTTATACTAATTATGGGACTTTCAGCAATGAAGTTCCACAGAATAGGAAGAATAACTGAGAAAAGTACAAAATAAGCCAGCATGGAGTTGACAGGGTGAGCTCTGCTATTAAGCAAAAGAGTGAAGGAGTCCAGTATGAAAGGTATTCAGGGACAAAGAGCTTCAAATTTCCAAGGAAAGGAAATGGATAGCATGAGGAAAGCCTGCAATGAGTTGAGAAATCTCCACTGGCACCTCAGAAAACACTGATAAGCCAGGAAGGACAACAGAAGACCATGTGAAAAGAGGCCAGGTGGTGAACAGAGAGAGCATGAGCTTGGGAACAGAGATACCAGAGAATCACATAGGAAGAAGAGCAAGTGCAGTCAACAGTCCTTCTGGTAAGCTAAAGTACCAAAGACTGAAAAACAAGAAATACGCCCCTCCTCCTGGATCACAGAATGGCTAATTCAGGGTGGAACTGATGTTAGTAAGAAACAGTGTGGGAACAACAGTGAACACAAATGCCCCGAATTGTCCAGAAAGCTATGTATTAGTGTTAGGGAAAAAGTGTGATGAAATGGATGCCACATGGTACATGGTATTAATACTGACTTGAGGTAGGGAGAAGAAGTCTGATGCAAGAATTTTTCAGAAGAGGGGAAGGAATAGCTAAGAGGCAGGAGGAAGAGGAGACTAACAACACTTCTGCAGAAAATTTGATTCAGGGAATATCTTTAGGAGATGCATCAGCCACCACATATTGTATTGAATACTTGTAACAGCTTTCACTAAGGAGTCTCTTTCATTGACATTAATTGACAATATTCAATTGTAACAACTTGTTGCTGCACATTATAAAAAGGAGAGAGAATCAATAATCTAGAGAAGGAATTCCTAAGATTAGGAAACTCACTCTAACCACATATACATGTTTACGTTAGTGCTCAATAAGAACTATTTCAGTAAAAATCCCAACACCTTCACCACTAATTGCAATGTTAATCAGCTACCAGCCCTCCAAACACAATAGAAGCAGTTATTTACTTGCTGCTGCACTAACTCTGTAAAACACGGCAGTGTATGCCCATTTAGTTATTACTTGTTCTCGAGCCTTCTCCAATTGTTGAACAAGGTCTTCCCGTTCATGTGCTGCAAAGTGGCGAGCCCCAACTTCATCATCTCCAAGTCTTTGCTTTGCTATTGTCATTCGGAGGAGCTGCGATTACAAAAGAAAAATTTGGTAACCAAGAGAAAACAGACTGTGGCATTAGAGTACATCTACATTAGAAAGAGTAAAGCTCTTCCAGGCCAAACAGCTGGTATTATTTAAACCAGAGGAAATTTTCTGAGCTGACGGCTCAATCCCTTTCTAAGCGAAAAATTCCAGTCAAACACTCAAAGCCATCAACAGGTGCTGAATTAGACCCTGCAACAAGTCACCAGAGTATACAAATGATGATAGACCAAGTAAACACAGGCACGTGGTCAATGTTTTTTAGGAGTGACAGGAACTAATTCCTGTCAGAATAAAACTAGAGAATTCCCAGAAAGCCATTTTCATATGTAAATCTTAAAATCCTCTGCAGCTGAGAACTCTTCCTAGTTAAGAATAAAAAGGCACTAAGTGGCTTGCCCAGCTTCATTTTACTAATACCACTTAAAATCCCACTGCACTACATCAGTGCAGAATTTGCACTAACAGCTGTTAATATACATATAAAATAAGTAATGCTTGTACATTATTTTTTTCATCTACTCACAAAAGTTAATTCATGTTAAAAAAAAGCCAAACCACAAATGGGCCAACAACAAAAGGACTTGGCCAAAATGCTCAAACAGCTAACGAACTCATGAGGTTTGTGACTGCTGAAAACTTGAATTAATACACAGTTATGTTCAATATCCAAAGCAAAAAAGCAGCTACCTTTCAAGAATCATGGAGTATTAAAATAACAGTCTATAAGGTACTCAACATTTACAGTTGTTTACACTGAGCACCACTAGCCAAGTGTTGCCTCCCCATGGCCTCATTTGTAGTAACTCCACACAGACTAGAGAAACCCACCACAATAACCTGACTTTTCCCATATCTTTGGCTGCATCAAGGAATTAATGTACATCATTATATTGCAGAGTTAGAAAAAAAAAAAAAAAAAAAAAAAATCAATCTCCTGAAGTAGAAGATTGTACATTAAAATCTATCTTTGGTATTTATGGGATGCCAGTCACCATAGCTGCAATGTGCCAATTAAAATCCTGCTGATGCAAGACAGACTACCAAAATCATCCTCCCCACTTATTTCAGCTCCAGTTCAGTGCAAGTCACTGAAGCTGGTACAACTTGTTCTGATAAGCAGTTCACTTGTTCAGGGGAAGCTGTGCCCCCACAAGTAACTGGTTTTGGCAAACTACATTTCCCTATCCCCACAGGGAAAGTACAAACCACTGCACAGTTAGTAAGGCTGAGTGGATCCTAGGAGATATAATTCCTATTAATTTCTTTATCCATACAAATGGCTCAAAAAGGCAACTAGCAAATCCCGGAATGGCTTCATAGCAATGGGACCATTTTTTTTTTTAAATGCTAAAAAGCTGATTAACAAAAGGCATGGTAACATGATTTAATTCAGTTAGATCAATTCAATTTCTCAAATCTGTCGCTAGCAAGAAAGGCAGTAAGAAACAAATGTAATAACATTCTGAGGACTCGATTTTGTTCAGAAAAACTGGAAGCGGGGAGGGGAATCACACTTTACCAACATCTTCAATGCCTGCAGCAGAGCAGAACTTCTGGGTAACGCTCGGCACCAGGCTGGGAACTCGATCAGAGCTGTGACTCATGCACTATGACCAACCCTCCTCCAGCCCGGGAGGGGATGAGGCATAAGATGCAATTACAACTGCAAGCAATTACTACTTGCAAGGTCAAACAGTCTGCCAATAAATGGAGAACTGATTTTGAGGCAAAAAAAAAAAAAAGTATGAAGTCTTATGAAAAGAATGCTTCAGAAATCCAAATTCAGCCAGTAAAAGCAGCATTATAAACATACATAAAATAAAGTAAAATACCAATCCATAAAATGACAGAGTGCTTCTTCCAGACAGTTGGCCAATCAGAGAGTTGACAGGGCAGAACAGGCCAAGTCCTTTAATTCTGCATCGTGAATGCCTCATGAGGCAGCACCACCTGCTATAAAAATCTTCCCTGAAAATGCTGTGACCCAAAGAGATACAAAGTGTTATGCCAGAGGGTTAAGGGTTTATTTCATATATTAGTGCTATGTTATAAACTTTATACACCTGCCCTCTGGCTGCCGTATTTTTATTTCTGTCATTCAGAAATCACCGAGGAAAGGACTGCTCAACTTCATGTTGCAGCCAGAGAATAAGTTAATGCTACCCCTCAGGATTCTGTGAACAGTATCCACAGCAGAGTGGATTTAAACTAATGGCACCTTACCAGAGGTTGTCAAGAACCCATAGATTGTTAACCAAAACAATCCAGTGCTGCAAGCCACTAGTCTTTATTATTTTAATATCACAGCTTTTTCTTAATCATGTCAGCTAAAATAATTATATATAAAGTAGCAACTCTGTAGCATCCCCACAATGCCCCCAAACAGGCTTCGCTGCAATAGCTGCTGTGCGGGCTAGGAGTCCACAGACAATGCCTACGCCAAAGCTGGTCATTCCTGATTATCAATAAAATACGCATTCTTCATGGAAGGCAGAAACCATCATGTTTCACCCATCACTGACAGCGACTGTCTTCATCACATTGTCTACAAAATCTTAAGAAGTGGACCAGAACAATGCAAATTTGCTACCTTAAGTCCCAGTTCTGCCAAAACATACGCACCACATTTAACATTTTGCACTGTTGCTGCATGAATGATTGTCTGCCTTATAATAACAAACTGTCAGTAATACCGCAGCCATTGTTTTCCATGTATCTTCCTCTCCCTTAGCACTGCCCTAGACAGCTTACAAAACCATTTCTTTGCGTGGGTAGGAATTCAAGTGAAGACAACCGAGTCATCTAGTCTTCCAGAAGCCTCCAGTTTCTCTTACGCTTTCCATCTTCACCCTTTTACAAGACAGAATTAGATTTCCTAACTACCCTCTTCTGAGTTCCAGTAATTGTTCTGCAAGCATTGCTGCCAGAACGTTAGGAAGGAAAAAGATTTACAAATAACTATCCTAAACAGAATAGTTTTCATGTGTCAGAGCTGGTAAGAGATTGTGACCAATCATAAAAATAAATAGTCTTAGATATCTGTTACTGGAGCGCTGCGGTCTAACTATTACTGTATTTCTCAAACTGCAGCAACAAATCCTTCCAGAGACAGCCCGAAGAAAGTTTTATTATTTGTGCCAACAGAATTCTAGCTGAAATTAAAGGAAAAAATTAGTCCAGTTAAACCAAATGCAAGTAATTTGTTATTGCCTAACCGATGACGTACTTAACATGATTTCAACAAGTAAAATGTCACCAGTTTAAGGGCTTCTTGCTAATCCAAGTGACTGTAGCCTACTAGTGGCAAACATTAGCGTGGTGAAAAAACAAGTCAAGCCATCAAAACATTTCTTTATCAATAGAGCTAATGTGTGATATTTAAAGAGTTTTTTCTTTTTTAGCCCTACAAAGCTCTTGCCACTCAGCGACAAAGCCTGCATGAGTCACCCCTGCTCAGACACAGGCAGAATTGTTCATCCATAAGCAGCTTCACTTGCCGCAAAAACAGCTGTTTGTTCATCTCTTGCCAGAAGTGAGGTTGACGTAGACCAGCTGGGCAGGATGCCCTCCCTCACTTTGGAAAAAGCAGAGAGAAGAATACAGGGGAAAAATGTAAGAACAAGCAAATTATTACAGTTCCTTGTTGTTGTATATAACATGCATTATCTGGACTCCACTGCCTGAAGTAACCCAGCGGCCAGTACAGGAGAACTGATGCGCAGAGCAGAATGGCTTCAGGAAGAAGCCTAGAATTTTATCGCTGAAGCTAGGAGGGAGCAAAATCTGACACAGGAGGAGCGTGTTCAATCCCTCAGAGAGACGGCAATGCTTTTTTAGGCACTTCAAAAAACAGCAACCTGACTCTAAAATAGGCTCTGTTTCTCATTTACTAGGAAAGTGAAGAATGTGTTCCAAAAATGAAAATCCTAGTCTAAATTAATCCCTGTCTGATGCGGTTCTTTCCTCCGCCTCTTTATTTAGTGATGCGCTATTTTGCACCTTTTGCAGAGGGGCACAGTGGGCAGAATAACCCTTTTTGTATTTTTTTTATTCATTATGAGGATCACAAATTTAAATTCATGCTGAGAATACAGATGTCACAAAGATGACCAGCTAATATCAAGTTAACCTGCAAAGGCAAATCTAAACAAAGTCGGTACAAGCACAAATAAGTAGCCTCTGTGTTACCAGGATCATATTGTTATAAGGAATTAGAATAGGTACATAACCTTGATATTTAAATATGTTGTAGTTTCACTACCTTTGTGTTCCATTTGTACTTACAAACCCTCATTATCTGTTCAGGACTGGCTTGGCAAAGGCTATAAGGCATAATATTGGTACCGGAGAACTGCAAGGCACTGTCTTCTACACTGTAACATAGTTCAAACAATAACATGCAAATGAAAAGAAGCACTGGGAAAGTTGGTCTTTGAAGACTTGAGCAAGTTACACTGAATGCTATGCATACTACAAACTCAGGTCTCACGACCCTTTCCCAGCTCCCTGCACACCTTCAAGGACATCCTTTGTGATAAAACAATGAATAAAACTGCATTATCACAATATACTTATGTTTAAAATAAAATAAATAAAATGAACTTAAATAGAAAGAAAAACCCCCACTTGAATAATTACAAGTCACATAATTTTTATTCATGTTTTTAAATCACATAACTTCCCTCCCTCATCTACAGTTTTAAAGTTATCATTCATTATTTGTTTCATTTTTTACTTCGTTAACCACCTCGACTCTCAAATTCAACCTCTCACTAGTTTGATCTCTGAACATACTTTTGCATACAGCTCCAGCTGTGAATGTTACACGCATTTGGCTTGAGTTTAAATATTTCAATTAACAGAGACAACAGGAGTTTGATTAATACCAAATGGCAGATTTTGAGCAATGTTCCATATAACTTGCTAAATTTAGCAATAAAATAAATTGGTTATGTAAGGGTAATGGGATAAGGGCTTAATACAAAGCTTACTATATGTGTTTGTGATCAACTGCTCCATATTTTCGAAGGGAAAAATTATGCCTCCCCCTGGTTTTATCATCTACTAAAGTTTTGCCTTTTCATTGAAAATTGAAAATTATCACATGATGAAGACATGCCTATCTGTACTGTGTAGGAAATACCACTAATAAAATACATTTAAAAAAAAAAAAGAAAGAAAGTCTGAGATCGTTAAAGCAAGTCTAGGTGCAAAATACTTAGACAACAGAGCAAAAGCAGCATACAACAATGTAGAATAAGCTGCATTTACTGGTATCCTGTACAAGCTTCTTTTGTTCTACTGTTTTGAGCATTTATTGTAATCAAAGTATTCTAGAAGTTCTGTAACCCATTGTTTTATTTGTTTTCCTAAGAAGTAAATGTAATACTCTGGCCCAGTTTACACATTCCATGCCATTTACTGATAACAAAAGTTTATAATACCTTATTGTCCCCTTGTACTTCTCCCAGTCTCTGTTGAAGCTCTCTAATCTCTTCTCCAAGATGCTTATTTCGATCTTGAGCCTCACTCAGTAGTTGAGCAAGATTTGCCTAGAAAAAGGAGTAAATATTAGTCAGAAATTAGTGCCTACGGAGAGAAGTGCAAATAGTGATGAAAAGAAACCCTAGACTTACTCCTTATCTGCCAACAATCTTTAGTTTTACTGTTGCCGGTACTCAGACTTCATGGTTCATTAGAGAGATAAGAAAAAAAACTCACCAGGGTTCCTTTATCTTTAATAGTAGGAAATACATACAACATGTATGGAATAAGGGAAGAGCTGATGTCATCTACCTGGACTTGGGCAAGGGATTTGACACGGTCTTGCACGACATCCTTGTCTCTAAATTAGCGAGACATGGATTTGACAGATGGGCCACTCAGTGGATAAGGAATTGGCTGGACGGCTGCACTCAGAGAGTTATGGTCAACATCTCGATGTCCAAGTGGTGACCAGTGACTACTAGCGTTCCTCAGGGATCGGTACTGGGACTGGTACTGTTTAACATCTTTGTTGGCGACACGGACAGTGGGATTTAGTGCACCCTCAGCAAGTTTGCCGATGACACCAACCTGTGTGGTACAGTCAACACACTGGAGGGAAGGGATGCCATCCAGAGGGACCTGGACAAGCTTGAGAAGTGAGCCTGTGCAAACCTCGTGAAATTCATCAAGGCCAAGTGCAAGGTCCTGCACATGGGTCAGGGCAATCCCAAGCACAAATACATGCTGGGCAGAGAATGGATTGAAAGCAGCCCTGAGAAGGACTTGGGGGTGTAGGTGGATGACAACCCCAATGTGAGTTGGCACTGTATACTTGTAGCCCAGAAGGCCAACCGTATCCTGGGCTGCATCAAAAGCAGCGTGGCCAGCAGTTCGAGGGAGGTGATTCTCCCCCTCTACTCCACCCTGGTGAGACCTCACCTGGAGTACTGCATCCAGCTCTGGGGACCCCAACATAAGAAGGACATGGACCTGCTGGAGTGAGTCCAGAGGAGGGCCATGAGGATGATCAGAAGGCTGTAGCACCTCCCCTATGAAAACAGGCTGAGACAATTGGATTTATTCAGCCTGAGGAGAAGGCAGCCTTCCAAGTACGTAAAGGGGACCTACAGGAAAGATGGGGAGGGACTCTGTCATGGATTGTAGTGATAGGATGAGGGGCAACAGTTTTAAAGTGAAAGAGGGTAGATTTAGATTAGATATTAGGAAGAAATTCTTTACTCTGAGGGTGGTGAGGCACTAGAACAGGTTGACCAGAGGAGTTGTGGAAGCCCCATCCCTGGAGGTGTTCAAGGCCAGGTTGGATGGGGCTTTGAGCAACCTGGTCTGGTGTGAGGTGTCCCTGCCCATGGCAGGGGGGTTGGAACTTGATGATCTTCAAGGTCCCTTCCAACTCTAACCATTCTATGATTCTATGTGTGCACACACACTCCCAGAACAGCACACAAACCCCAAACAAGACAAAGTGAAAATATCTATGCTAGTTCTGGTATCTTGGCTGGCGGAGACAGCAAAATGCAGAGTACTTTGACAATATTTATACAAAGATGCCAAAATACTAGTTTTAAACTTCCACGTAATTAGACAAAAGGCACAGCTGATAAATGATTATGATATAATTATATTGCCTAATAGTGTTTAGAACAGATTCCTACTCAGTAAAGAGGATGCCAGCCAGACTCCCTGCCCTATACAGAGCTGTACCATGGATATCTAGCAGCATAAAACTTCAAACGTGACCTGAAGAGATTTTTTAAACTACTGATAAACCTGAAGACTGCAAATAAATAATTTGGAAAAAGAGTGTAATAGCAAAAAACATAAATAGCCAATTACAGGGTCAAAATTAAGCTGCTTCTGATTTTATTTTCAAGGCAGCAACCATTCAAGCAATGCAAAAGGTTCCTCAAGTATGCTTTGGTAGAATGATTTTTTTTCTATACATTAAATAAATGTGTAATAGTCATTCATATATTGAATAAATCAAGGAGCTTCAGAATACATTCAGTCAATGGTTTTGAGAGGTACTTCTTAATGGCTGTTTAAAAGAAAGAAAATAAATAACCCATGTTTGCAGGAAATTGTATTTATACTGAAGTATCTATGGCTACTGCTCAGATGCATTTTTTTTTTTTTTGAAGAAAGCTGACTTTCAGTAAAGGCCATCCAGCCACCAGACTGAGTTAGATAAAAGGAACATGATTTGCACAAACCTCTCTGAAACACTTCTATTTATAAAGTCCCTTTTCATGATGAATTTGAACAACTCATAACACTGCAATAGCACATGCAATTTCAACACCTGGGAAGAACAAAATCTCACTAATCAGTGTTTACAGCCACAACACCAGGATTCTTGCAGTCTGTAGTTAAAACCCAGCTTCCAGCAACTGCAGGGAAGGCATTACCATGCCTATACTAAATCTTCCCGGTCAGATTTATTTCTTTTAAAACCATTTCTCTGGGATTGCAATTCTATGCTGAATTTTATTTGTCAGTCATATAAATGACTTAACGTGACAAAAACCTTTATACTCAAGACAGGGATTTTGGAAGAAACTTTAAACGAAGAATTTTAGACACCAAAATAAAACAGCCTCGTTTAAGCATGCTAAGAGCATTATAATGAGCTAAGTATAGACTTGCTCCTTAATGCAAAGCTTCTATTATACTTCTGTTAAACTAAAACAACCAAGCTATGTCACAAAAGTACTCTCCAGCAATTATTCATTTCCCTGGCTTAGAGGTTCCATACAACATATAATTTAGCTTGTTCTGAGTTTTAAAGGTTTTGGCAAGACCTCATTAAAGCTCTTGGTTAAATGTGGATAGAAGGAGAAATATTTGATTTTCAGAAGTGCTCTACTGGGCTTAAAGAGAGCCAGCCAAGAGGATACGTTGAACGACACCTGGACTTGGTACCATTTCTTTGGCATATGTAACGTACCATATGGTTGAAAGATGATAAAACTAACAATGGAGGACTGGCTTCGTGAACCTGTAAGCATGTAGTTTTTGAGGAAAGGGGAGAAATCTGTGCAAGGAGAAAGGCAACTCATTTTTCCACCTGGCAACTTCTTTTCAATATTCATAGAACAAACACAGAATTCACTTAGAAATTCAAGACAGGTTACTTCAGCAGACAATGAAGTTCATATCATTTACCTGTGCAACAGAGAACAAGTCTCTGAAAATTAGCAAAATTCAGCTTCTCTAGACTCAGTTTCTTCAACAGTTTCTTTTGATTCTAGATGAAGCCTTAAGAAGACTTCTGTAACTGTCAGAGACTTTCCTTCTTTCACTCACACTGTTCAAAACTAACGCCGAAGTACTGATGAAGAGATTTCTGAGCCATGGGTAATGGGAGGGAAACGTGCAGAGGTCTATACCTTTCTGCTGCCTTATCTTGTCTTGCCTCTGCAACAACCTGTAGCAGTGGAAACTGTTTCTCCTACTCTCTCTCAATGCAACTGTTTGTAATACTAAATAACAGTACTTCATTCAACTCTCTGATTAACTGTCCGGTATCAGACAATCTTTCTAGAGCTCTGTCCACCTCTGACGACCTTCAGTTTCTGGCAGGTATTCATGAGCCTCTGAAGCATGACAAGCTATTTGTTTTACATCCATCTGTCACGTAAAGCTTCCAGGTATCGTAGAATCATAGAATATCTCAAGTTGGAAGGGACCCATAAGGATCAGCAAGTCCAACTCCCTGCTTCTTACAGGATTACCTAAAACTAAACTATATGACTATGAGTGTCATCCAGATGCTCCTTGAACTCTGATGGGCTTGATGCCATGACCAGTTCCCTGGGGGAGCCTGGTCCAGTAACCGACCACCCTCTCAGTGGAGTATGATTTGAGTGCAGTCCAAACCTCCATTGTAGTATTAGACATAAGAAACTGTCCTCGTATTCCTTTTTCCTCTGACCAAAAGCAAGCATGATCATGGCCAACAATCCCACCAGAAGCTAGGAAGAAAGGAGAAAAAGACTGATGTGAGAGTGCCGAGTGGGAAGTGCCTGCCTTTATTACACAGGGGGAAAAAGCGCCATAAATCAGAACAGACCAGAGAGTGAAAGATTCAATGGGATGGGATCATAGACCTCACCCTTTTCCACTTAGACTTTGTTAAAATTTGAAAGAAGGTTTTGGGGATAGAAGGTGGAAGAGAGCCTTACTTTTAGCTACAGATGAGCATATGAAACTACTGAGGAAAATACCTATAAATATTTATTAACATAAGGCAGTGAATACCTATAAATATTTATTAACATAAGGCAGCGAATACCTGTCAGACAGCAACAGATCTTTGCTCACTACTGACCAATGACCCAAGAAGAAAGAGGAGGAGGGGGGGGAGAAAGGAACTCCAAATAGTCATCCATAGCATTATGCACTACACTTGAATTCGGCTTCTTTAACAATTTTGCAAATCTAGCCACACATACACACAGTGTTATTTTTCTTCACACCACTTTAAAAATGATGGATAGTAACACAGTCTTTAATATAGCTCTCAATTCTCTTGCACATAAATCTTATCTGACACATAAAAAAATAATAATAAAAAAAAAAGACTGACTGCCTTTAGATACTGCTTGAAAAAGTAATTTGGCAAGGGGGAAGAGGGAGAAACTTCCAACATATCTTTACAATTTAAAAATATTTTTAAATACAAACAAGCATTTCTATACTGCAGTTTACAGTCTTTTATCTTTCTTCCAGCCACACCCTCAAACAAAGAAGAACTCTGAATTATAGGGCTGACAGAAAAAAAAGTTTGATGAAACATTAAGCACACTTGATGGGTGTGACTGATAGCAAATTTAATTGCAGTTTCTTCTCCAATGCATTCGTATGATTGCAATGGCTGAATTAGTACAGAAAACCCTGCTTTGCTTACCAGCTACCACTCTTCACTCCAAGGCAGAAGAAATGATGAACTCCCCTAGCACTAGCTTCCTCACGATAAAAAGCAAAAATTACTGTATTTTTCTCTTCATGTTGAAAAAACATGTAGGGAAGACTTCTGAAATTATAG